CTAATCACTTGTTGTGTGTGGAGTTTTTTGTTCTGATATAAGGAGGGATCCTAAGTTGAAGTTTTTTGATAAAAAAAATTCTGTGTTGACCATGTCTTCTGAGAATTCTGCTACTTCAATGATTTATGGAAATCAAAATGGGGTAAGTGGGGGAATGGATATGAGTTTCCCCATGGCTGTCATTCCCTTTGATGGTCTGATTTACCTTGAATGGTCTAGGGGAATAAAACTCTACATCACTGCTAGGGGAAAAATAGGATACATCAATGGGAAAGTGAAGGAACTGAAGACGGAAGTGCTGAATATGATAGATGGAACCAAGAAAATAGTATGATGATGTCTTGGCTCTTGGTTTCCATGCTGCCATAGGTGAGAAAAACTTTTATGTGGGCTAAAACTGCTTGTGAAATATGGGAACATGCAAAGTCCACCTATTCAGAGCAGAGACACTATGCCAAGATTTACCAACTGCAAGCTGAATCATCCACTTGTAAGCAGGGAGAAAGGAGTCTCTCGGTGTCGTTGCTTTGTTCATAACTTGTCACCTACTCGGGGTAAACTTGATCCTCGTGCTATTCCTTGTGTCTTCCTTGGTTACCCTCTATCTCAAAAGGGGTACCGTTGCTATGATCCCATCTCTCGTAAGTACTATGTCTCAATAGATGTGTCCTTCTTTGAGAATCAACCTTTCTTCTCGGTTTCTCCTCAGGGGGAGAGTAAGGTTGAGGAGAAACAGGCTCAGACTCAACTACCTCCTCTACCTGACCCTCCTCCATTCCGTGTCTTTCTTCGCCGCCACAAAAGCCAGCAGAGTTCAAGAGCCATGGAACCTAACACTATGCAACCAGCATCATCGGCTTAACCGGAGGTTGGTCCTTCCCATCAGCCAGGTACACTTGCTTCTATTGATATGCCTGCTCCTCTCAATGCTGATTCCCCTGTCATTAATGATCTTGATGTTCCTATTGCTAAGAGAAAGGGTGTTAAATCTTGTACTACTAACCATCCTATCTCTCACTTTGTGTCCTATGATCATATTTCATCTTCATATCATGCATATCCCCGTTCCTAAGAATGTGGCAGAAGCTTTATCCAAACCTRAATGGACAGATGCAATGAAGGAAGAGATTGATGCATTACACAAAAATGGCACTTGGGAGTTGGTGGATCTTCCTGAAGGGAAGGAACCGGTGGGGTGCAAGTGGGTGTTCACAGTGAAACACAAGGCTGATGGAACTGTTGAAAGGTACAAGGCCATACTGGTGGCAAAAGGTTTTACACAAGTATATGGAGTGGACTATGCAGAGACTTTTGCCCCAGTAGCCAAGATGAACTCTATCAGAATTCTGGCGGCAAATCTTGACTGGGAACTTCACCAATTGGACACCAAAAATGCTTTCTTGAATGGTGACTTAGAAGAGGAAGTGTACATGACCCAACCTCCAGGTTTTTGTGCTAAAGGTAGTGAACAGAAAGTGTGCAAGCTAAAAAAATCTTTATATGGGCTGAAACAATCTTGTTGGGCTTGGTTTAGTAAGTTCCACTCAGCAGTTCAACATATGGGGTTCAAACAATGCCAGCCAGATCACACACTATTTGTAAAGAAAGGTGAAGGAAAAATTGCAGCTCTAATTGTGTATATGGATGACATAGTGATCACAGGAGATTGGGAAGCTGAAATACAGAGACTAAAAAAGTTCTTAGCCACTCAATTTGAGGTGAAAGATCTAGGCCCCTTACGTTATTTTCTTGGAATTGAAGTTGCCCGCTCTCACAAGGGMATTTTTATTTCCCAACGGAAATATGTACTAGATCTACTAGAAGATATAGGCAAACTGGGGGTGAGACCAATTGACTCACCAATTGAACATAATCATCATCTGGGAGACAGTCAGGGAGAGTTTTTGAAAGATGTGAAGAAGTTTCAGAGACTTGTAGGGAGACTCTTGTATTTGTCTATGACTAGGCCTAATATTGCTTATGCAGTGGGTGTCCTTAGTCAGTTCATGCACAATCCTTAGACAACTCACTTTGAAGCTGTAGAGAGGATCCTTAGATACCTCAAGAAGTTTCTTGGAGCTGGTTTGCTGTTCCAGAAACATGGACATTTAAAGGTGGAGGTATATACTGATGCTGATTGGGCAGGGGCAGTTGATGATCGAAAGTCTACCAGTGGATATTGTGTCTTTGTAGGGGGAAACCTAGTCACATGGAGAAGTAAGAAGCAAAATGTGGTGGCTAGGTCTAGTTCTGAAGCAGATACAGAGCTATGTCTCATGGAGTTGCTGAAATCATGTGGATAAGAAAWCTGTTAGGAGAACTGGGTTTTACAGTTAGCAACCCTATGTCACTCTATTGCGACAATAAGGCTGCTATCAATATTGCAGCTAATCCAGTCCTCCATGATAGGACGAAACACATTGAAGTGGACAAGCATTTTATTAGAGAGAAACTTGTAAGTGGAGAAGTGTGCACCC